AAATAATGTTCTTTTTAGCAACATCATATGACCCCTTTAAATTCTTTTTAATATTTTCATCTTAAAACGTGTAATTACACTTTGTGTGTGTGTACTTGACTCACGTTTTCGCTGTGACATCCACATATTGTCCTGGACAGAAGTGAGCTGCATAGAGAGGAGTGCCTAGACAAAAAAATAAAATAAATAATAATAATACAAAACAGAAACACACACACACAAAAAACACAAGAAAAACAAAATACAAAACAGAAAAAAACACCCCCAAAAAAATAGAAAACAAAAACAGCAGTACATGACAAGAAAAAAACAAAACAACGAAAACACAAACATAAACATCAAAACAAGTTTTATTTACTCAAACATGAAAGTAGAGGTATACAGCTGAAATGACTTAATTCTTTATCTGGCGATAAGCAAAGAGTTTTGACGGGTGAAGTGACCTGGTTTGATGATGGCGTTGTCTGACACACAAAACGTGGTGAGTTTCTGTTTGGGAGGAACTCCTGCATTCCGGAAAACCTCTAAATATCCCCCTGGCCTCTGTGAGAAAGACAGATTAACTTTCAATTACTGCAAGTAATTTACTAACATATATAATCCTACAAAAGCAGAAAGGGAGAATGAAAAAAGAATACATTAAACCCAAACTGCTCTGCTGTGTTTTGGGAGTTGATTGACTGGCTCTAGAGAGACTGAAGGCTCAGATTGAAGGTCAGGACAACTGATAAATATACTTCAAGCAGCACTTTGTGGCAGCTGTCAAATATAGATGGAAGACACACAAATATACACACTAGCTTACTGCCAAAAAGGAAAAAAAGGGACACCGACCAAAGTTTTATTCATTACAAACTCCATAGAACAGTTTAGTTCAGCTCTTTCAAAAATCCTCTTTCTATCATGCTCACATCTGTCCATCACTGCTAGTCTTTTTTTTCCTAGCACCAATAGAGAAAGACAAGTGAGGAGAAGAATACAACGAGAAAAGTTGCACAAAAGACAAGTCGTCCTAGTTTTCCAATATAATTTCCCTTTACATGCACATACACACAAAGGTGACCTCTACAGCTACTGTGAGCTCAGTAATTTCTCTCCAGGAGCTCTTCAGGTCTTATTATACTCCCTCTCCAAAGAAGCAGAAAAGCTCTAGTCTATTATCCTGAGAGGTCAATGACTGACAGAAAGGTGAAGAGACAACGGTTTGTTATGAGGGGGAGAAAGTGTTTGGACAAGAGCAGTCTTATTGAAAAAGGTTAAAGTCAGATCTTACACACATGAAACGGAGAGACGTTTTTTCCACCCACAATCAGGGCTGCTGTGCATCCATTATACTCTTCCTTGGATAGATGTTTCACAACATGGCAGTCTTGCACCTGAGAGAGATATGGATGTGTTACTCTGTCTCTTATATTTGATTGAGATGCCATGGGAAGTTCAGCTTCCTGGAGCAAGCTTAGAAAAAATACCATGCTCAGGGACACCAACTCCATGGAGGCTGATTCTGGTGTTTTTACAGATCTTTAACTATGTTTAATCATGTTTCCATACCTCAGCAGTACAATATAATAGACTAGATTAATTGTATTTATCACTAATGCACCAATTCAGTATAATTTGGAGACTACAGTGAGATCTAGAGTTGTCACAACACGTTAAACATACCCTACTGGACAATATCAGTTAAAGAATCACAATATTGTTCTGAAATAAATTATTATTAATATTATGTGGCATATGAAGTGGCTCAATCAATTTATTAATTAAAATGTAAATATATAAATCACTTTGACAGGTTGTTATATATATATATATATATATAAAATAAAAAATTTGAATTGTTTT